GTTTTTGGGTCCATCAAAATTGTGTACATTTTGGGACCAGCAGTTAGCGTAACGGCTATGTCACTGGACTCACACGTAGTCGACCGCGATTCGGATCCTGGACACGGTGTCTTAAAACTCATGCCAGGCGTGTGTGTGTGCATGCCCAAGATCCTGAGAGAATGGAGGAGAAGGGATTGCAGCGTGGCCATCCCCCCTGGGGGGTGATTTCTCGCTTTCTGTCTTCTCTGTCTCTCTGTCTGGTGAGCGCAAGTGCCCTATAGCAAAAATCTCTCCAAAAAAAATTGTATACATTTTATCGGAACATTCCATACATCTAGATGTTTCTGCATCCTTTTGATTATTCTATGTTAGATATTTTTGAACACTGATAATTAAATTCCTCCATATTCCTTTGTTAAATAAAAACAATGACATATACTGTGTCTTTCTTAAGAGCCCCAGTTTTCAATAACTTATTTACATAATATAATTAAAAATGTAAATAAAAGTGAAATTAAGTAGAAGCTTTGAATGACATAAAACAAAAACTACCATCCTTTATACATCAAAACTTATTTACTAACATAAATCCAGTCTATCATTTTGATACTTGTGAGTTTGCTTGCGTTTCTTTCAACTTCTTGAAATTTGAAGAGCAATAAGCAGGTGCTTTTTTTTTTTTTTTTTTTTTTTTTTTTTTTTTTTTTTTAGGATTTGCCATAGGTTGCATACACTTGCTAGAGACACACAGTGAGGGAAAGTGAGAAATCACTACCCATGGGGGATGGCCACATCACAATCCCTTCTTCTCCATTCTCCTCCTGGGATTTTGGGGCATATACACACACCCAGACTTTGATTTTCAAGCTGCTAGGTCCAGGTCTTGAACTGTGGTCAGCCATGTGAGAATCCAGAGCCTTAACTACCATGATACCTGCTGGCCCTAGCAAGTACTTAAAAAAAAAAAAAAATTCCAACATAAAAAGACTTGGAAAACAACTTTATCTCTTACTTTTGTAGCAGTCAAACCTCAAGTCTAGAATAGGGAATGTCTTTTCAACACTATGTTGCAAAGTGAATGCTGCTGTCCACCCTATCAGAAACACTTAGGGAGCTTGTTGAAAAAGCCCAATCCAAACCCACAGGATCAGTGTACCAATATTTTAAGCAAACGCCCAAGGTGATTCTTATGGACATCAAAGAATAAAAACCACTGCTTTAAGCAATACAAATCTCATCATTTCAGAATGAGTGCCTTAAATAACATCAGAATGCTGGATTTGAGTGGTGATTATTATCACCACCTAGTGGTAAATTCCTTATTTCTATTTTTTATGGGTTCATTAATGTTGAATAGGATCCCAATTAAAATATAACAAAATTTTAAGAAAATGAACTTAAGGGTAAAAACTCTTGGTATTTTTTATTTACTCTCTATTCAAGTGGGATGACACCTGTGGGATTGATACCAAACATCTTTTAAATGTATTTGACCATGAAAATTTCTTTCTAGTATTTCAAGGAACATACTATAGTTTGGGACATGATACTCTAGAAGCAGCAAACCTGAGAGCTGCTTTCTGAAATCTGTCATACAAGACCTTGTAAATGAATTTACAAGAAAATATTGATCAGGCTTTGTTTTAAATATTATTTTAACCACATAATTGAAAAAGGCATATTGACCTTTATTGCTTACCATTTTTTAAAGTAAATAAATATAAAACATTTAGCTCCTCGGAACCAGCAGTTACCATAATTGCTATGTCTCTGGACTCCCACGTAGTCGACTGTGGTTCAAGTCCCGAACCTAGCTGCTTAAACTCACGCCAGGTGTGTTTGCGGCATGGCCATCCTCCCTGGGGGGTGATTTCTTGCTTTCTGTCTCTCTGTCTCTCTCTGTCTTTCTGGTGAGTGCACGCACCCGATAGCAAAAACCTCTCCAAAAATAAATAAATAAATAAATAAAATATATACTAATAAAATCCCACTAGGTTGGCAGCTTTAGTAACTGACACTTGCTAAGCATCTAAATATTCACATATTATGTTCTTATACCTAATGTGCATCTAAGAAACAAATTATTATGTGAGCATTAAATCAGTAAAATTAATTGTTAGGTTGTAGAATTTCCATATCTCATGAAAAATGTGACATTCTGGCTTTATAAAACATTTAGGCGGATCAACTGCAAGAGTTAGTAATGCAGAACTACAGCTAAATGATTGAGAGGATTAAGATGAAATTTACATTTATGTCAAAGTAGGCATTGTTTGTTCCCCGAGAAGTGCAAGTGGGAAAGAAATAGAAGGTTGCACTGATAAAGCACAGGATTTCATAGGTAAAGAGGTGTTACACAACTCTCTTTTTTTTTATATGAAGGAGTCAAGGAAACAAACCTAGGTGAAACATCTTACTGATATCACAACTGTTTTCTGGGACTGACTGCCCGAATATAAATGTAGAAGGCAGAAACTGATCATTTAATTTGAACAGATTATTTGGAGGACAGCTGAGATTCAACTTTTTTTTTTTTAGAGGTTTTTGCTATAGGGTGCGTGAGCTCGCCAGACAGACAGAGACAGAAAGCGAGAAATCACCCCCCGGGGGATGGCCACGCTGCAATCCCTTCTCCGCCGTTCTCCTCTCGGGATCTTGGGCACGCACGCACATGTGCCCGGCGTGAGTTTTAAGGCACTGGGTCCAGGATGCGAACCGTGGTTGACTATGCGGGACTCCAGCGACATGGCCATTATGCTAACTGCTGGTCCCAAGATTCAACTTCTTCTAAATGGCCCAGTAAAAAACTTAAAAGACTAACTTCCGTAACTGTTGCTTTTACACTGTCTAGGTTAATGGCTGGCAGGAATATTTTTAAGGGAAGCCAATAAGGAAGCATAGTCAGATAATTGCATTGTGTAGGATACAATTTAATTCCATTCTGTGAAAATGGAACTTTGTATATAGTAAATGAGTTTGAGATGAATAAATTTATCAAATGGTAACTCAATTCTCATTTAAGTTTGTCATATTTAAAGACAGTATTTGTTTTCTTTTAAAAATACACACTGGCTCATAAAGGGTTAGTTCAATTCTTGTTCCATAAGTCTTGCCTGAGATGACAAGGCTGGAAATTTTCTTATCTAACGTTACTGATTCAAGAAGAGGATTTTAATTTTTCTATCTCTCTTTTTTTTTTTTGAGAGGTTTTTGCTATAGGGTGTGTGTGCTCACCAGAAAGAGACAGAGACAGAGAGATAGAAAGTGAGAAATCACCCCCCAGAGGGTATGGCCATGCAGCAATCCCTTCTTCTCCATTCCCCTCTTGAGATCTTGGGCATACACACACACACACACGCGCGCGCGCGCGTGCATGTGCATGACCAGTATGAGTTTAAGCCACTGGGTCCAGGACTTGAACCGCGGTCAACTACATGGGAGGTCAGTGACATAACCATTACACTAACTGCTGGTCCTAAGGATTTTAATTTTTCAGTGGAAAGATGTCCCAGTGTAAAATACTCTATTATGCTCACCGAAGTTAGCCTTTCATTATTTTAAGTTTAACTTAGGATATGAAAGACATAGAAAGTAAATGAAATTTTATTTTATTTTAAATGAAATTTTAATAACTGCATACCATCTATTCTTTTTTTTGGAGAGATTTTTGCTATATGGCGCATGTGCTCGCCAGGCAGAGAGAGAGAGACAGAGAGATAGAAAGCGAGAAATCACCCCCCAGAGGGGATGGCCACGCCACAATCCCTTTTCCTCCATTCTCCTCTCAGGATCTTGGGCATGCATGCACACACAACCAGCATGAGTTTAAGCCACTGGGTCCGGGACTCGAACCACAGTCGACTACATGGGAGTTCAGCAACATAGCCATTACGCTAACTGCTGGTCCCCATACCATCTATTCTTTATTTTACTTAGTTTCTAAAATTTGTGGGAGGCTGTGTACTCACCAGAGAAAGACAGGGAGACAAAGAGAAAGGGGGAAAGGGAAAAAGCATCCCCTACTGGGGGATGGTTATACTGTAATACCTTCTCCTCTATTTCTCTACCCTATCAGGATTTTGGACATGCATGCACATGTGCCCAGTGTAATTTTCAATCTGCTGGAGCAGGGATTCTAACCAAATGGTGGACCATGTGGGATCTGGCTATCTTAGCCACCAGGACACGAAGCTGCCCCAATTGTATCATTTATAGTATCTGTTTTAAAGATGCCAACTTCTTGATGTAGATATACCACTTTGATTCATGTCATTCACTTCCGAAGCTGATAAAAATTTTTTTCCTTAGATTTTCAAAATGCAAGTAGAGTAAGGTTCCTAATGTTCAATCTTTAGTTTTAGAATGACTATACCTCCTACCTTAATCTGTCTTTTTTCATTTTTTTCTTTTTGTGGAGAGGTTTTTTGCTATAGGGAGTGTGCACTAGCCAGAGAGACAGAAAGCGAGAAATCACTCCCCAGGGCCTTAATCTGTCTTGAAAACTGCTTCATATTTTTGGAGTGGCTACCATATTTCTGTATTTATAAAGAAAAAAATGTCCACCCTTCCCCAAAGCCACTGACATTTATCTAAACTTACTATGAACATTAAACTTTAATTTGTCTTATCACTGCTGCTTCATAATTACTAAGAAATTTTGGTATAACTATAAAAATAGAGTATAAAAATATTACTAATGGTATGTCTCCTAGCTTTGTCCTTAGAGTCTAAGTGTAGTTTATTTGTGTGTTTAGATTGAGTAGCGATTACCATATTTTATTGAATTTAAGATGCAAATGAGCAAAAAAAAAATCACCTTTTTATGTTTCACTAAGAAAGAAAAAAAAGGCTACTAATTACACTATGGTACAAACTGATATTAAAATGTTTTCATTTTCAGAGGTATTCAAATGTGAAAAAACATGCATCTCAAGATCAATGAAATATGTAATTTAGTCAAATTCTAAACACTGTCTATTAAATTTTTTCATTCTCGTCTTCACATAAATAAGTCATGATTTAGTTAAGCAAAGAAAGCTTTATTTCTGCTACACACACAACAACATATTGCTCTAAGAAACAGCTACTATATTAGTTTTATCATTCATGTATAGATTCAAAAATACATGTCAGCAATCCCTGCTTCCCAGACAAAACAATGTGGTGCATGGACTACCAGGTGTATGAAAAAAAAAAGCTGTCAACTGTCCACAAGGAGTGCGTCCAGTCACATTTTCAGTCAGTCAGCTGAGGACTATGTCATTATTTAGTCTTTGTTCTGTAGAAAGAACACAACACAAGTATGAAAATCATCACCTGAAAGGAAATAGCTTTGTATATAGTATTCCTAAAATTTGTTGCTTTATTTCAATATAATCGATGTTACCTGCTTAATCACAGATGCCCCCAAATAAAAACCAAACTTACTCAGGATGATTCAAGCAGGTACTGAATTTCTAGAAAAGAAATGCTGTGAATTAACACAAAAATCAGATGCTCTTAAGTATTAAAATTTCTATTTTCCTCAAATAGAAACATTTTGCATATCAGATCTATTTCCCAATAGAATGCAACCACTTTCAAAATCACACATATCTTAGACCAACTTCTATTTCTAGGCCTAGCTCATTTAATTGAGGTTTATTCCTCAGAGAAAAAGGGAACTAACTTTCATAAGCTGCGTTTGGATTCTCCCAAAATTAAAGAAACAAAAAGTGCACCCTACATCCCAAGAAAACCCTTGATTATTACAATCATGTGAAGTCTTTTATAGTATTTTCTTTTGACCTTTAAAATAATGTATTTATTTAATGTACCAACGAAGAAGAATATCATTATGAAGTCGATGGTAAATAGATCCTCAACAAACAAAAAACCTAAAAATACCATACTGCAATTAGACGTGTGTAAACCAGTGTATCTAATTATACTGTACCCAAATTAGTATTTTGACTATTCTGACCTTACTTTATCTTTGCCTTGAATGTGTATAACAGTTCAATAAAGGGGAACAATTTGCTTAGTTCTCACAGCACTGGCTAGCCAGAAGGTAGTTTTGTATCATTAAACTTTGGTGTCTGATCATTTGGATGTCATTATTTTGGATGAGAAGATATCTCAATGGTTTCACCTAACCTACAATGCAGCAGTACTAGGTCACACTTACAAAGTTTTTTCCCCCTCCATTTCACAAATAATTTTGCTGACTTGTTGTCTCTCAATAACTCTATAAAACGATTTGGGCCTCAGAAAGGTGAAGAGACCTGCCAATTGTAGTAAGTGTCAGAACTGTAATTCATCCAGATTTTCTAAGTTCAATACTCTCTTCAATATATAAATTATTACTTGGAAAGAATCAACTATAAGAATATATATTTTCACTAAGTCTGTTCTGGGTCAGTCAGGAAGGTGGTTAAGGTGGCTGGATTCCACATGGCTGACTACATGGTTTAAGTCCTGGGCCTGTTGACTTGAAAAACACCCCAGGCGTGTACCCATGTGTACTCAAAATCCAGAGAGAATGGAGGAGAAGGAATTGTGGCATGTTCGCTTGAGGGGTGTTTTCTCACTTTCCCTCTCTCTCTCTGGCGAGCACAGTGCCCTATAGCAAATAAAACAAACAAATAAATAAATAAATAAAAAGCCTATATCTTTTTTTTCAGGACAAATATTCATTAAACAAAAGAAAGAACTGTTACCTATATATTGATATATTCAAAGATAGAAATAAACATTGTTTGCATGCTATTTTAAGAATAGCTTTTCTTAACAGAATTGACATTTTATTTGTAAACAGGAAAAACTGATTACTAATTCTTTTTCATTGGAAATTTGACTGCTAACAACGTATGGTGTGATGAGATGAGTTTTGTCATTAAATAAAACAACTGAAAACATTTTAAAATTAAGATTATTTATAATGGGCCCAATGGGCACTTTCTATTGCCAACGATCTACGAAGGACAAACTAATCACTTGCTGATCACAAACTAATTACTTTGTGAGAGGAAGAGTCATCAACAGTAAGACCTGGAATGATTTGTTCTTTTTATTTATTTATTTTTTTAAATTTGCTTAGGGTTATGCGCTCAACCTAGAGGGACAGGGTGGGAGATAGGAGGTGAGGGAGAAAGTACCCACCAGGGGAGGTGGCGACATGGCAATCCCTCTTCCTCCATTCTTCCCTCAGGATTTTGGGCATACATGCACACGTGCCTGGCGTGTTTTTCAAGCTGCTGGGCCTGGGACTTGAAAAGTATAGTCAGCTATGTGGGATCCAAGTGCTTTAACCACCATGCCATGGGCTGGTCCAGACAATTCATTCTAATACTTATTAGCTCACATAATTGGTCAGAAAGAAAACCATAAGTGAAAAAAAGAAATGGTTCCAAACCAGTAACTTCAAATTCAAAGTGCTTGCCAACTACCACCATTTAATCTGCAGTAGATTTGGAAAGCAGGTGTGTAAGACAACCAGGAAATTCTTAAGCTCAAAATTCATTTACAGAATTAAAAAGTCTAACTTTTCCCATTTTCCCAAAATGTTTTCCCAAACCAAAGAGATATAAATTGTCAGAGAAAAAGAAAATGAGGTGTGACTTTTGAAAATTGATAGGAAAAAGAATTCACATGGTCATATTTATCACTGTTTATATTAAACAAGGGCCTCTGGTAAATTGTCATGGCTTTTTAAAAGTACAAATGTAAATGAGAGTATTTTTCTGAATGTGTATTTTAATGTGGAAACTCACGTATAAGTCCAGAAATAACATCAACATTTAGCTTAACAAGGTCCAAAAAAGATTATTTCATATGGTTTTATAGGCATTTCACTAGTGAGAAGTCAAAACACTCTTTAAGAACTGTTATAAATTTTCTCAATTAATAATACAAGACAAATTCTTCAAATTAGAAATCTTCAGAAGTATTTCAATTTTAAAGTTTATATAAGTATATAGTAAAAAGTCCAATTCTTAAAATCTAAGGTATTAAAAAACAAAAAAAGAATTAAATTTTCTAAGTTGTAATCTGACTTTGTTTTAGGGAAGGGTAAAAACATTCAGTAAATATGAAGAACATTTTTTAAAGAATTATTTATTAATTGTATTTATTCATTCATTTATTTTTTATTTGAACAGAAAGAGAGAGAGGGAAAGTGAGAAAGCAGGCCGCCAGGTCTGGGGACTTGAACCATGGTCAGCCATGTGGGAACGTCCAGCACCATAAACCACTATGCTACCTGCTGGTCCCATGAAGAACTTTTTAAAAAGTTTTAATAGTTTAAATTTAAAAATTAGATTGAAAAAAAAATTGGCTTATTATCAGCAGAGTTTTAAGCCAAAATGCTTTTGGCTGGCAACTTTTAAATCTCTAAAAAAGAAAAGTTCATAATGTATTTATAACTATCGTTCTTGGTATACTATTTAGCTAGATTGTTTTAAAATTCAGATTAAAATGTGCTTACCTCAAGAATCAGTAAGTTCTTTGTCGTTTGTTAGATTCTTCTCTTGGGGAATCTGCTAGCATAACTTTAAGTCTGACCCCATTCAGAATCTTTCCATGTAAAGTAGCAATGGCGTCATTTGCACTTATTCTATCTGCATACTTGGCATACCCCACGTTTTTTCCTGACACGAGGTAAACTTCAATCAGGTTACCAAAACGACTACAAGGTTAAAAAATAAATAAAATTATGAGAAATTGATAAACATAGCTGTTCAGAGTCCATTCTTGACTCTTTTTCATACTTCTCCCTATATCCAGCATCCAACATGTATGGATCTTATTCTTTTTCCTTAGATTTTTGCCATAGGGTGCGTACACTCACCGGAGAGAGACAGAGACGGGAAGTGAGAAATAACCCTCCCTCCCACCCCCGGAGGGATGGCAATGCTGTAATCCCTTCTCCTTCATTCTCCTCATGGGATTTTGGGCACACGAGCAAACGCGCTGCATGTGTTTTTCAAGCTGCAGAGTTCGGGACTGGAACCACCTTAATCACCTTAACCTAACTACCATGCTACCACTGCTCTCAAGTATTCTTCGCCTCCACTCAGGTCTCTTTCCTCATTCAGACCATCATTATTTTTTCCTTAGATTACTCTCATACTTTCTTTACTGGTCTTCTTGCTTTCTGTGCTTGTTCCTCTCTAATCCATCCCCCCATATCCTTTTTTTTTTTTAAAAAGAGATTTTTGCTATAGGACATGTGCATTCACCAGAGAGACAGAGAGAGACAGAAAGTGAGATATCACTCCCCAGGGGGGATGGCCACACAGCAATCCCTTCTTCTCCATTCTCCTCTTGGGATCTTGGGCACACACACACACACATGCCTGGCATGAGTTTTAAGTGGCTGAGTTCAGGAGTCGAACTGCGGTTGACTATGTGGGAGTCCAGCAATGTAACCACTGTGGCATCTGCTAGTCCCTTCCCCTATATATTATGAGTAATCTTTCTAAAACACAAAATTAACATTTACTCCCTTAAAATCTCTTCAGCAGTTCTCCAATGCCTCCAAAGGTAAAGACAAACTCCTTAATGTTGCTTATGGGACTTTCTTGACATGGTCCTTAGCCTCTTTAGCTTCCTCTTTCCTCACAGTCTCTCTAAGTCCATACTCTAGTAACTCCCTTCCACATTTTCTCTGGCAGGTGTAACAGTGCACATCCCCAGCTCTCTTCTGTAGTATAACTGTTCTTATTCTTCAGATCTCCAGGTATCCTTGCTTCTTTCAAGAAGTCTTGGGACCAGCAGTTAGCATAACGGCTATGTTGCTGGATGCCCACGTAGTCGACCGTGGTACAAGTCCTGGACCCGGTGGCTTGGCTTAAAACTCATGCTGGGTGTGTGTGCGTGCGTGCCCAAGATCCCAAGAGGAGAATGGAGGAGAAGGGATTGCGGCATCACCATCCCCCCGGGGGGTGACTTCTCACTCTCTGTCTCTTTGTCTCTCTCTGTCTGTCTGGAAAGCACAAACGCCCCGTAGCAAAAACCTCTCAAAAAAAAAAAAACAACAACAACTTCTAGAAGAAGCCTTCTCAGTGTTTCTAAGGTAGGTGTCCTTCCTTTGTATTTCATACATTCCTTATCATAATATCAATCTCATTCGGCTGTAATTTTCTACTTACTATTCTATCTCCTTCATGACATGAGCTCTAAGAGGCCAAGGACTATAGAGTCTTATCTACACAATATCACATAGAGTCTAGCGCTTACCACAGTGCCTGTCTAGCACACTGGAAAAATTCAAGAAAAAAACATAAATCAGTTAAATGAAAGTCAAAATACTAGAACCATATCTCTGATATTTGTGTAGCTCTTTATAAGTTTATTATCCACTTGTTTAATTCACAAAAATTCCTGTGAGATAAAGGACTTTTTATAGAAAAAGAAAAACTGAAAAGAAAAAGGAAGGAGTCATATTAAGTGCACAGAAATAAACACAAACCTTCCCCCTTTTACACTATATATTCT